AGATATTGTCCATGCATAGTTAGGGCTAAACCACTTAATCATGGAGACGTGTGAATGTGCAACAAAGGTGCAACAAAGGATTTCTACCCTTTAAACCGTTGAAAGACCATATTGCATTGTAATACGAAACTGAATAGGTTCTCCAACCTCTTTTGATTAGCTTGAGTAGCCATAACATGCTGCTAGGTGTTGCTCATGGTTTGTGGAAGCCTTGAAGATGTATAATCACTAAAAGGAGAATTGAATGTAAGTTTCAATTCACAATCAACTAGTAAAAGACTAAGAGTTCTAATTGCCCACTGTCTCGCTAAAAGGAACCAAATGGGTCGCACATTGTGTAGGGTAATAATTGACGAATATAATGAAGATAAGTAAGGACAATTAAATAGTTTAATTGTATATGACAAAGATTAATTAATATATTAATTAATCATGCGAAATGTTCAAATCAGGCTTTAAATAAGTTTCATGTTTTAGGACCCAAAATGAGTTTTGGTCCACAAGACCCATTGAGTTAAGTTCTATGACAACTAAAACAAAATGAGAATTAACAAACATAACTACATAAACTAGCCAAAGCGAAAAGGAGTGATGGTTTACTTATTACAAGTTTGCTAATCACTTAGAATGAGGTATAAAGGTAACTTTGTAACTCCATCCCTCATTAGGATTTTCTATGAGGCAAAGAGGGAGAAACACAAACTATCTCCTTCCTTAGATAGGCTAGCCACCATGGAGAACATTGATAGCATTTTGTTCTTCCATTGTCACTCATTGTGTTCAAAGGTATAATGTTTCTAAACTCTCTTTGTGTTTAAAGTTAAGTCTTGGTTCACCTCTACTACTAGGCTTTGAATTTCGTAGTTTAAGTTTTGTTTTAAAGTGCATACAAGCATGCTTCCACCATTTAATTGTTAAATGTATGTATTGTGTTGCTCAATGAACTTAGTTTATCAAATATTCTCCTTCATAGAATTCATGCAACATTATGAATGAACCTTAGTTTTGTGGGGTGAACCATTTAAGTCTGGGTCCATTTCATTTTCAATCAACATCCTGAAGCCTACCAAGGGTTAAACACCTTTGATTATCAGGTTTAAAATTTGTGAGTATACACCTGGATTCGTCTGTGTTTGACTTGCAAATTTAGAACCTTAGTAGTTTAGCGCTGTCTGTAAGAAATGCATACAATTTGGTTTTTATTTCTACCCAGCAAATCCAAGACACACTTTGCGGCAAGGAAGAATCACCATGTTAGATATCATGATGAACCAGAGAAGAAAAAATGATGCTCAACCTATTTGTAGCCGTATGGCCAGTGAGATAAGAAGAGTAGCGGGGAGAACTCTATATCATACCCGGGCGCTCGACGGAATTTATCTCCCCTCAACTGAAAGACAGCAACACCTAACTCGAGAGACGACGAGATCCGAGAATACCTGAGCTCATGAAAGAATTGAAAACAATTGTGTTGTTAGGAGAATGTCCGACTAGACTGTCATGATCAACACAAAGTTAATTGTGAAAGTCCAAGCAGAGCTGATAAAATTGTCAAGGGCCAACACTAATGTATTTGCCTGGTCGTATGCAGATATGCCCGGAATAGATTTGAGTGTCATCTCTCATAAGTTCAGTATTGATCCACATTGAAGGCCTATTCGGCATAAACAACAGTCTTACGCAAAAGGTTATGAGGCCATATTGGTTGAGGTAGACAAACTGCTTAGAATCAGTTTCATCATAAAGGTAGATTACCCATGGTGGGTGGCAAATGTAATGGTGGTAAAAAAAGCAACGACAGTAAAAAAACTGACCAAATTGTGCATATGTATAGACTACATGGATTTCAATGGGTATTTTCAAAGAACTATTTTCCGTTGCCAAGTATCAACCGACTCTTGGATGCTACGACAGGATGCGAACTTTTAACTTTCCTCAATGCTTTATAGGAGAACAACTAGATCTACATGCACTCGACCGACCAAGACAATAAGACGTGTAGGGAAGACGATGGAGGTTTATGTAACGCCCCGACCCTAAAATTTTATTTCGGAAAATGATTTCGGTGGTAGGCCAAAATTAAACTCTTGTTTAATTAACTACCAATTGATCACAATTTTTATTTAAAATTTCTTAATCACTCACAAAATCTAACCAAAAATTTACTTACTAAACCATCAGTTTTAATTTCCAAATAATCATCAAAATTTCATTTCTTCAATCACATTCCCACAAAAGATTACTCTCAGTTATTTAAGACTATATCTAACCCCTGTTAGACAGCCTACGTAACCTTGATGCAGGATCAAGCCTTTTGTAGTTCACCAGTTGCTTTTAATCCATTTCCAAAATCAAACAAGTGACTACCAATCACGGAACTAGGTTCAAACAAATGATTCACACCAACTGCATATCATAAATGCATTAAGAATATCGAAATTAACTTAAAAGGACAGCTTCAGTCCTCTGGCCATGCGCCGTTGTAGGTGGCGGTTTCCGGTGAACGGAAACCCAATTTTTCCAACTAACTCTAAAAATTTCCAAATTTTACTGAAATGAAGATCTTAATGAGTAGAGTAAGTTTTATACTTGTGGCCAAGTCCAATTTGGCCGGGAAAAGCCCCAATTTCCCTCGAAATTACCGGAAACCCTAGAAATGGGTGACTTCAATCCATCACATCCGGTACTCCGCCGCTCTTATAGTTGTTTGGGGTGTGTTCTTGGGTTCAAGAGGTGTCTAGGGGTAGTGGTGATTAAAGGAATCACCTTTAGAAGTGGCAGATTTCCGTCAGTCTCCCCATGGCGTCGTTGGGGCTATTTCCAAGAAACCACCATAAAAAACCATCGGGTTTGGGGTGGAACTTGAAGGAGGGTCGTGGAGTCAAGCACAGGATGTGGCAAGCCTTGGATCGCTGGAAAACGACGGAAAAATCAACAAACACAATCGATTTGAAACTGGGTCGCAATATGGAACCGGGTCATGGGTGTGGTTGGCTAGTTCTCACTCTTTCTCCTTGCCCTCCTTGCTATCTCCTCTCATTTGCCCTCCCTTCTTTTTCCCTTTCTTCGATTGGCAGCCCCCTTTTCCTTTCTCTTCCATTCCTTCAATCTCAGCCACACACATGGCACCATATCCACTCTCCAACAAATCTGGAGCCTTCCAGATTAATGATTAGATTACCATTTTGCCCCTAACTTCGTTCATTAAAAACTTATTCGTTATAATTCCATTTCACAAACGGTTTGCGCCTACGTGTTCGTGAGGTCGAGCTATATCCAAATATGTCAAGAAATACGATAGAAAATATGAGGATAAAATATGTCCTCGTATAATTAACTTTAGCCAACTAGGGCCATTTTCGTCTTTTCCCCTTATCCAGATAAAATTTTACGACTTAAATTATATAAATTTCTAGAAGAAATTTTTTTTTTAAATTTCTCAATTAAATTTTCACAACCATAAATCGATTATTTTTTTTATTGCTCCTCACATATTTATATATTTAAATTTTCCGGGTATTACAGTTTATATGGAAGACATGCTTGTGAAGAGCAGAAAAGAAAACTAGCATGTGGCAGAACTAACTAAAGTGTTTAACATCCTCAACACATGCGGGATGAAGTTGAATCCTGTGAAATGCGCCTTGGCGGTCGGCTCATGGAAGTTTTTGGGGTGGTAAGACAAACAGGGATAGAGGTCAACCAATAAAAGATATAGGCCCTCATCAATATGGCATCACCATGAACAAAGAAGGAGATGTAGAGCGTCACCGGACGAGTAGCGGCCTTGAGCCAGTTCATCTGGAGATCAACGGACCGGTGCCTACTTATTTTCAAGGCATTCCATGGAGCTATGTGAACGATTGAATGGACGGAGGAATGTCAACAGGCATTCAACAAACTAAAGGAGCACATCGGCTGAGCGCCAATCCTATCAAAACCTTGGAACGGTGAGCTGCTTTACGTCAAATCCTTGGTTATTAGTAACACAAAATATAGGAATGGTACCCCTTTCTTAGAAATTCATTCAATATACGTAAACATGCCTTTAGTACATAAAAACTGAAAAGTAAACAAAAGTTTCCAACAATTGGACAAGAAACCAAGCACAAATGCCACTTGCGCTAAATACATAGTATGCTAGTTTTCTACAATATATACATACATGTCAAAAAGAAAAATCGGGGCCTTGTGCGGTGGCACCAGTTGCATACCCTTGAGACCGACCTTGGGGTACATGAAGATTGATTTATGTAAGCTTTCAATTTTGTTTTCAATTTTGAGTATTTATTTCAACAATTATGCCAATTTTGTCGGTAAAGAAGTATAATAATTTAGACATCAAGGTTTCCTCTAATGGAGATGCCATAATTGACGTGGCAGCTGAGTTATTTAACTCCTTACTTTCTAGCTACCTTTTTATACAACAAACAAAGATGGAGTCAAATGCCTTTAATTTATTTTTTAATGCATGGGTTCCATTGACAACTAACAGGATGAAAACTAAAATCAATTTGAATTATTTTTTAATACTTAATGTAACTATGGGGCCCAAAATATTAATAAAATAAATATTTGACAAATCTATTAGACATGAAGAAAATTTAACACCTATATTCAATTGGCCAAACTCGGAGTCAAATTCCTTAACAGCAACTAGGATTCTCATTTTATTTTATTTGTCCCTCTAAACACATACATTATATATGGTTTATATTTTGAATCGTTTACAAGTTTTGTATGGATAATTGGTTTTATAATGTAGGTTCTAGTGGGACTTAGCTAAGCTAATTACGAAAAGTTGGTAACCTCAAACTCAACTTTTTTACTAACTGTAATTGCGCGCAAGGGTGATGAAGGAACTTCAATCAATCAGCTTGGAAACACGTTTGATGATTTCTTGAATTTTTAAAACGTCCAAGGACTTAGATTTGAAGTTATTTTCCTCAAATATAAGTCAGAACAATTTGAAGTAAGTGATAATTCATATACACACCAAGGGAAATGTAGACATCTCAAATTATTCAAATAAACATTACATTACATAAAGTAGCAGCTACATACCATGAAAACATACTCAGGAAGACAATTACATAAGCATACTAGTCCCCATTAATTAGGCATCAAGTATCACCATGCATGAGCTAACTAGGTTGCCCTTTATATAGATATTACAACATACTACTCTGAACTTATTAGACTAGCCAACATCACACTTGAAGTAGTAAAGGGAAGGAGACCGAGAACTTAGTGATGTGCAGTAGGACCATCAATGTGGCAACACTTGTAACTGATGAAAGTCTCCATGCTCCGGTGGCAATCAGGACACTTCATGGTGTCTGGAACCTTCCCGGTAGAGCCCGGAATATCAAGGCGGCAGCAAGGTCGACTCACAGTGCGAACCCTCTCATGGTATGACTTGAAGCAAAACTCAAAGCCCCTCTCTTTCACATGGTCCTTCCATTTGTCAAAGTCCTCTACCACCCTCAAGATCGAGACACCGTGGCCGGTGAGCACCACAGAATGCCCTTTGCTGAGCACAGCCCATCCACTTTCGTTTTTGTAAGAAAGTAGCTTCTGGACTTCTTGACCGACTTGGTCGGCTGGCCTGTGAACCTTGGTGAAGAACAAGCTTTCGATGCCAGTCCAGAACTTCCCGAGGATGCCATGGTCATCTTCTCCCTTGCTTCCTTTTCCCACGCAGAACAACTCGATGTGAATCTTTGCCTCCTTGAAGATGGGATCATTTGCAAGGGCAGTTGCTTTCTTTGTGAACTCTTGAATCCAACCATTGTCTTTGCCACCATAGAAGAAAATGTACTTGTCCTCTTTGATCTGTTTGACCAAGCCATAGTTAGATCAACCACACAAACTTAACTAACGAAATGTATTCTAGATTTAAGGACCGTTGCTATTCTATACTAATTTCTATTAAAGGGAGAGTTGCGTCTTGTACAATTTTACACTTCTCCGTCAATTATAATTTGTTTTGTTATTTTATACTTCTTGCCAAAAATATGTTTCATTATTATTACACCTTTATTAAAGAGGCGGTACGGTAAAAATAACATGTGTTTTTGTATCCACGCTTATATATGTAAGATTAAGTTGTATTAGAAAGGTGGTTAATAATGTGGTAAGTAAATGTGGTTGAAATAGCGGTCCTCATATTTAAACAGTTAAAAGGAAAATTACCGTAACAGATTGGCTAACCCCTTGGACAACAGTGCCAATCCATTTATCTCCGTGACCATTGTGAGAGCTCTTCTTCAGTTGCCTTTGTGAAAGGGAAAGCATTGACTCCCCAAAACCCTAATCATGTGGAGAGCGTTGGGATGTTCGACCTTTCCTTGTGGGTTCATCACCACTAGTGTGGGCTTACCCTTGAAGTTCCACTCCTCCTTGATGAATCTGATCTGATGCCTGTGTACCGAGATCTGCAATCGACTGTGTACCATGGCATTCTTATTTCGGAGGCTCTCAAACTTCTTTCGGCGGTCATCGGTCCCAATGCTCCACAATCGGAATCCACACAATCTTGTGCTGATTGTCTTTCTTTATCATATCATAGATGGGCTTGAGGATTGAGATATCATCATCAGAGATGTCTAGGCTTGAAATGAACAACACATTCTTCTTCCTCAGGATATCGATTTTAACCTGTTTAAATGAATTATGCACGTTGTAAGTAATTAATAAGTAGCAATTTGACTAACCGAAAAATCATGTCACCAAAAACTGATTTTCTTTGCTAATACTCCTCCTTAAAGGTGTGTCTCACATACAATGGTTTTGCACCACTCACCTTTATTTGATAATGATGTTATTTTAGTGTTTAGTTAATGATGTTTATTTTACGTGCTCAAATAGTATTATGACTAATCACATAGGAGCTCAGTAGAAAAAACTGAATTGTATATACAAACATGCATATTAAAGATTAATATTCCACGTGACATTTTAGGGTTCCAATTAAATTAGTCATGCCAAGAAAATTACGTTGGAAATTTTGTATGACAAAAAAGTACTCCTAAGCAACTTTACTGCCATCTTTTTCTATGGTACGTTACTGTCATATTATTAACTTTAATTTTCCTTGCAGCAACATAGTGCCAGCGGTAAAAATAATTCAATTACACATTATAGTACTGTGACTAGAACAAACCATTTGTTTAGTAGAACCATCAACGAGCGGCTGGACATTTTCCTTGGTAAAAATCAGGGCCTTGAAAACCTCCATGATTTCAGTAGGAGTTTGGAAGATTTTCCTTAGCCTCCGGTAAGTCTCTGCCTCCTCTGCATGCATGAAACAAAGATTATCTTGAGCGTTTCATTTGTGCAAGTACAGAAAATAATTCCAAATGAAACATCTCCATTTAACCCACCAATTTGTTTTCTGCAGACAATAAGCTGGATCTTAAGCTTGTTTAGGACATAGTGAATTTTTTGAGCAAATGGGGCTAGATCATGCTCCTTGTCCCTAAAACGAAGGCAACCATGGTCATTTTATTAACTACTAAACAAATAATTTTTATTTGCCAGACCAATGCTAAATTAAGTTGTTAGGCTGTGAATTTGGATTACGAAACTTCACTTCAACCAGATGCACGGTCTGGCAAAAAGAGCGATTTCCTAAAGGTCAATGGAGAACTTACTCATTACAGGTGAGGATGGTGATCTTAGTTGCACAAGCAACAACAGTGGCAACAGCCCAGTACACATCAACTGGAATATGGTCCATTGCTAGCGCCAACGCTGGGACATCTTTTGGGTCGTAGCTGGAAAGCTTATCGAATTGGTCGATGCACTCAATCACTTGCAATGTGGCCTTGATCAGATTGTTAAGTTCAAGCACTGCTTGTCTTTTCTTGTGCAGGTCGAGGCTTGAGGAGCACGGGGACTCGCTTCAGGATTGCAATTGATTTGGCGAGTCGGTCTGATTCTTGAAGCTGGGCGAGGAGCCAGAACTCCCCGTATTCCATGGCAAAAGCTGCTAGAGTCAGCACTGCCTTTGCTTCCCATGAATAGCTTGATAGCTTGTTCAGTATGGCCAGGGTTGTGTTGTGGGCAACTTCCTCACTAGGAGGCTTGCATTGCATCTGAAATTTTAAGATTAACCATGATATAGTGTGAATATTCAAGAATATACATGAAAAGTTACAAGAAATATACATATCATTATGTGTGTGTGTGTGTGTGTGTGTGTGTATTTAATTTCCCAGGTAATGACCTCGCTGGCTATGGACTTTAGTGTGCACAATGGTGCACTGAAGCCTGCTTTGGGTGTGTTCTCCTCTATGTTCTCCACGTGCACTTGGGTACCCTGAAACAAGGCACAAGTAACATAGAAGTGAGTTAAGTGCACGAGTACTGCTTTCTTAGATAAAATAACATATTATGTTATTGTGTTATAAAATAGTCTCGTAAATATTCCATCACTTCTCCTAAAAAAATATAGAAAGAAAAAAAGAGCATGTTATGTTATTTGGTTAAAATTAGTGACATAATTTTGGTATACTATAATAATGATTTGACAGTTTAATAATCGTGCATACGTTACATGTAAGCTAAAAATATATACCTGCACAATTTTGTCAACAATTTGGGTAGCACGCTTAAGGATATTTTCGGTGATTGCCGAAAAGAGAATCATCATCAAAGGATTCATAGCATAACATGAACATGAGTACCATAAATTTGTTCCCAAGATTTTCTGGTCAGACATGGTAAATAGGCTAAGCTCATGATCGCCAAGTAATGTGTTGATGAGTAGTGGTAACTACTGAGGCCACCTTGGCAGCCCACATGTTTGCTAGACCTAGCATGTGACTCTCTTTGGGGGTTTGAAGGCAGGAAAGAGAAGAATACGATGGCTTCTGGGTAATTGTATTTGGCTTGTGTGAGTGCAGCACCTGCAATATGCCTGCCCTATTTATAACCTGAGCTTGTACACTATCCTCAAAGTGGGGACCATTTCTACACGATGTCGCCACGTGAAGGGTGTGGATTGAAGATCAGAACAATTAAACATGTGAATAATGAATATGGTTCAAGTTCTTTGTTCATTATTATCTCCACGGGTAAGTTATATACACTGAAACAGAAACAAATAATAAAGTCAAAAACTGAATGTAGATTATATAATGGCCATCGAAATTTTACAACCTCAGTATTGGTGTAATACATAGAAGAACGGGATTTAATCTGAAAATGAGGACGCCAATTGCATGTCGGCTGTCTTGAGAGGTTTAAATTCCTTTTTGAATGTTATTTATTTACTTTTTAGCTAAATAAATAAATTCATGTAAGAAAAATAGTAGGTTAAATATGAGGCAATATACATATAGGGAGAATTTATTATGATCTTTTTTTCATTCTTTGGATTTCAATGGATACAAATAATTGATGTATTTTCCTACTTGGGTTAACAAATTGCCTTTCGTTTTTTGTATTCTCCTACTCAGTTTGATCAATGTCAGCGTTTAACAATTGCCTTTTTTTTTTTTTTTTTTGTAGTATTACATGGAAATTGTTTTTATTTTGTACTTTTTATTAAGCATAATACTTGAGGATATTTGTTGTAATTCAGTTTGACCAATGTCAGTGTTTATTTTAAAGAAGTTATAATAAACACAACATACCATATATGAATAAGTATTTGCACGTTACATGCATGTTCATTTCCTCCTTTCTATACAACAGAACAAAAACAACTTAGGAGACGATGTCTCGTAAGGAAGGAGTTCGCCGCGAAGGGTTTAAGGCGACAGAGTCCCGTTGGACAAAATTAAAGACACTTTTGCTGACGAAAATAAATATTCGTCGGGCAATATAAACTCACCCCATGAACGTTCATCGAGTAAGTATGCATTGACCATTGAGGCGTGGCGAAAATGTTTTGACCCGACCAAAATATGTCGTCGTGCAAAAATTAAATTTTATTTAAAATGATTTTAGTCCAGTTTTTCTGACGAACTTCTTGTCGGGCTAGCGGTGCTTTGGATTAAAAAATATTTCCTTGAAATATTTGGCCAACGGAGTGTATTGCCGGGGATGAGTGTTAATTAGGTTCATTGAACAATTAGGTATTAAATATTCTACACAGGTTCATTGACTCTTCAACATTAGATTGAGCCAAATACGTTTTTGTACAAAGCAAAAATAAAAAAAGAAAAATTAGTATCCAATCCCTAATTACTAATGTTCGTTGACTGAAACCTTATTAGTTTTCAGATTTTGATCAAAGTTCTAACATTAATGTAATAATGAATTTACATGTTAGTTACATAATTTTTTAAAATAAAATTAATAATTGATTTAGAATTTTAATACCCACACCTTTATTAAACTCCTAACTATTTTTCAATTCAAAAGATTTCCAAAATAAATAAAAAATTATATGTACCCATTCATGTAACTTTTTCAAATTTTTAATCTTAAAATGTATTCATTCTTAAATACACCAATTTGTTATATGTAAAATGTACTTTTTTTATATAAAATCTATTCAATTTTTTTAAATCAATTTTTAAACTTATATGGGTACGTACATTCTTTTTTTCTTTGATTTGAGAATGTATCCATGTCAAGTTTCATTGAAGAAATTTACTAATGTTAGTAAGCCAAATATCTTTTTTTTTTCCTTTTGTGATTTTAAAGTATGTACCCATGTTTTGGTACAATAATTTTTTGGTTAATTTTGATGAATGTACCCATGTTTATACACACACACAATAGTATATTTATATTTTAATATTTTTAATCCCACAAATTATGGTTTTTATTTAAAATCTCATTAATATAAACAACTATAAATTTTAATTTAAAAAATATAGTAACATACATAGAAATAAATTATCACATTAATTTCAAGGACTTCGATAAAAATTTGAAAACCAATAAGGTTTTAGTCAAAGAATATTCATAGCTACAAACGTCATCCAAAGTCTCCTAATGAAAAATCATGAGATCTGGCAGTTCCATTTTTTTTATTTTGTGGTCATTTCTAAATTGCCTATTTCTTGATCCCATTGTATCATTGCATTCACCTAGCGCTCTATTTCATATCAGTGTCCTCGTTAAATATCTATGTGCAGCAAGTTTTGGATCTGAATGCATACAGTGTGAAATCGGGACATTAATTAGTTTGTTTTCATGTACGTAAAGTGTTGGAATGCAAGGTTGAAATGCAATGCTTCCACTAATCCGTAATCTTCCTCGTGTTCGTGCCACCTGGCCTTGCCATCTCGTCTCTACCAAAACTGGTGCAAACTAGTGAAATGATGTTATCCCTTTACATGGTCTTTTTGGCCCAAGGGTAGTCTCGGTACCCTTTGTGACAATGCCATCTCGTCTCCACGTTCAAACGCGCGTATGGATATATATAACCTAAAATCAGAAGGTGAAAGTGATACAACAGGCTATAATTTTTACCCTTTTTCAGTTTTCACATGCTTACTGATAAGGATATGGGGAAAGGACAAAGACAGGTAAGGTGTGAAGCTAAAACTGAAAAGACTGTTGAGGTTTGACTCATGTTATATGATGAGGTTTGGAAATCATGTTGCTCGAATATACCACACATTTGTTCTGCTACTGAAAATTGTCCGTTGGTTCTTAAATAGATTATTGGGTTAAATTTAGGACGATTTTATGAAAGAAGGTTAAACTTCAACAGTGGGTTCTTTATCTTGTTCCTACTATAACAAAGACTTATAGAAACTCTTAACATGATATAAACCAAAGTTGAAAGATGCCCATTACTCACTAACTCATCATAGTGGGACATGATACCTAGAGCAATATTATCAATGAAATTTAAGGGTGTTTAGAGATAACCTTTTGCAATACTTATTTCTAGACAAAAACTCATCACGTTTTAAACCTCCAACTAAAACTCGAATTTGAAATTAATTTCCAAGTAGACAAATAAGTGACATACTATTACCCAAATATTGACACATGTGTCGCAATACACTGATTATGTTAACGAATTTAATTATGCACCATAATTATGGCAAATAAGTGCCTTATTATTACAAAATTATCCACTCATGACGATGACTGATTGAACTGATTCTCCAAAAATAATCATGACGGATTGAACTGATTCTAGTAATAAATGATACAACCTAATTTTACCTATAGTTTGAAAACTGATTCTGTAGAAATAATCGAGGATGGGTTAAGCTTATGGCACATATTGACTTGTTGGAGCTGTGAGGGCTAGGCTCTAGTAACAACCTTAAAGTCTTAGAGGTATGGTTGGTATTTTAAAACATTGCTTTCATGTTTTTGGGATGGGCTTTAGTTATTTTTATGTTTTGTCTCTCATTGACATGTTTAAAAACTAGTGGAGGTCCTTGAAAGTTGAAATGTAGTGAAAGTTTTTGTCTTTATATATAAAGCTCTCATTAATATCCAAGATTTATTGTAATCTAAAATTTGTAACATTTATGTCTTTTTCTGCTTTTTTTTGTTTTGCAAAATCATAAATCCTGCCTCGTAAATTTGTAACATTAATGTCTGTTTCTCCTTATCAGTTTTCACACGCTTATTGATAAGGATATGGGGAAAGGACAAAGACATGTAAGGTGTGAATCTAAAACTGAAAAGACCGTTGAGGTTTGACTCATGTTATATGATGAGGTCTGGAAATCATGTTGCTCGAATACCACACATTTGTTCTACTACTGAAAATTGTCCGTTGGTTCTTAAATAGATTCTTGGATTAAATTTAGGACGAATTTATAAAAGAAAGTTAAACTTCAACAGTGGGTTCTTTATCTTGTTCCTACTATAACAAAGACTTACAGAAACTCTTAACTAGATATAAACCAAAGTTGAAAGATGCCCATTCCTCAATAACTCATCATAGTGGGACATGATACTTAGAGAAATATTATCAATGAAATTTAAGGGTTGTTTAGAGATAACCTTTTGCAATACTTATTTCTAGATAAAAACTCATCACGTTTTAAACCTCCAAATAAAACTTGAATATGAAATTAATTTCCAAGTAGACAAATAAGTGACATACTATTACCAAAATGTTGACAAATGTGTCGCAACACACTAATTATGTTAACGAATTTAATTATGCACCATAATTATGGCAAATAAGTGCCTTATTATTACAAAATTATCCACTCATGACGATGACTGATTGAACTGATTCCAGTAAAAGGGATTCAAACTAATTTTACCTATATTTTGAAAATTGATTCTGTAAAAATAGTCGAGGATGGGTTAAGCTTATGGCACATATTGACTTGTTGGAGTTGTGAGGGCTAGGCTCTAGTAACAGCCTTAAAGTCTTAGAGGTATGGCTGGTATTTTAAAACATTGATTCCATGTCTTTGAGATGGGCTTTAGTTATTTTTATGTTTTGTCTCTCATTGACATGTTTAAAAACTAGTGGAGGTCCTTCAAAGTTGAAATGTAGTGAAAGTTTTTGTCTCTATATATAAAGCTCCCATTAATATCCAAGATTTATTGTAATCGTAAATTTGTAACATTAATGTCTTTTTCTCCTTTTTTTCTTTTGCAAAATCATTAGTCATGCCTCTTACAATCTGCATAGAATTAATTGTGTTTACAATCTGTATAGAATTAATTGTGCATATCATACATGCAATAGGGATATGCCAGGCATCTAAAAAATGTAAAATGGGTAAAGTAAATCATAATTAATGAGTTTACATTTATGGATCCTAGTCACTAAGTATTCTTTAAGCAAAAATATTATGTCGGACTTAATGTAGAGAAAATAAATTTGAGGAGCTAAATGCATTTTCTTAACTACACAAAAATAAATTGAACTGTT